CTGCAGCTGGAAGCACCCAAAGGCAAATAAAATGGTGACTTTTTTTGTTTCATTTTTGTTTGTTTGTTTGGGGGAGTTGGGGGGTTGTTTGGTTTTGTTTTTCAAGTTGAAATCTCACTCTATCACCATAGCCTCAGCCTCCTGGGCTCAGGTGATCCTTCCACTCAGCCTCCCGAGTAGCTGGGAAGTTACTCCCAGCTAATTTTTTGATTTATTGTAGAGACGATGTCTCACTACGTTGCCTAGGTTGGTCTAAACTCCTGGGTTCAAATGATCCTTCTGTCTCAGCTTCCCAAAGTGCTAGGTGTGAGCCACCACACCTGTTTTTGACTGACACTTACACCTTAATATTAATCTAGAAAAAAGGGTGCTGAGCTATGTAAAATTCATGCTGTCTGTTCCCTGTGTGGTGACTATGATCTGTTCGTGGCGATGGCTTGTCTCACTATTCCCATCACTGAAAGTGGAGTTTTGTTCCCTGAGGGTCTCCATCACTCCCTGGAAATGGAAAGCACTTATGGAGGCATTAACTCTCCAAGGCTGTCTCAAGAGTACTACAACTGGAATGTACTCAGTGCCTTCTTAGCTGTCCCAAAGGAGAGACGGGTTTTCCTGTGTGCCTTTCTTACTTTGCACAAACATGGTGGCACTTAGGGATTATTGCTCTCCTTAGCTTTGGAGCATTTTCCCTTTGCCACTGGTGTGAATAACCTTTGATCCATCACAAGAAAGGTTGCACCATTTCAGGAACTACTGTTAGAACACTTCTTGATGTGTAGTCATGTGGCCATGCAGCAGTGAAATGGCTGTGTTTATGCAGCTTATGCAGCTCAGAATCATTACTGTAACTATTTCACACATCACTGTCCTTGCTGGGAGAGAATGATGCCACCAACATGCAGCCAGTCGTAAACAAGAGGGTCTACAATGACTCGTGGTCAGTCAACCGCCCTATTCTCACTGGGGCACAGAGACCATTTCTTTTGATATGTGACATTATTCTCTGCCCCTAGAACTTGTGGAGCCCCATTTTCATGCTTCCTTGTGAAGCACATAAAGTCTTTTTCCAAAATCAGAAAGCCCATATCCGAATAGTGTCCTCCAGGGAGAATGTCAATTCCTGAATTCCCCCAGAACTCCCATGACATTTCTTGTTATTTGTCATTGATGCCAGTGGCAAGAAAATAGATCCAAACAGTATTGTGGAGAAAAAGTTCATCACCACTCCCCAAAAAAAGTAATCAACAGCAACATAAATAAAAATGACTTCATTTTGTGCTATTTCCAAAAGAAAGCATCCTCTGGTTTTACAATTAAAGTCAATGAATATAAACCAAACTTTATGTCAAATACATGCTGTTTACTTCATATTCACATTTTTAAAAATTATAATCCCCATGTTATGACAAGTGTTGGAAAGAATGAAGACATAGAAAAGAATACACCATGCACAGAGAAAAGCACATTCACACACTCACTCTAGAAGTTATTGGAAAGCAATAGAGAAAGAAACAATCCTATCAGAAGACACACTTGATTTCATTCTGCCTTTAATACAAGTGCTCTCAGGTAAATACTAACATATCTACAAGCATATGCAAAAAAGAGAAGAGAGACGACAACGATCTTAAGAATCCCAAAAGCAACCTATTCTCCACAGACCCATTGACCAATCATAGCATTCTTAAAAGTGGGACAATCAGGCATTATGTGTTCCCAGATGTGCTGCAGTACACAGCACCACCTTTAAAGCCCTTGCCATAAAATCAAGCCTGACCTTGGACTAATATTGTTGAAGATATAAGAATAGCAGAATACATTAAATCTCACCTCAAGGAAGCAATCAGCCAAACCTAGCATGTGGGAAACAGTATAGAGCAAATTTTTAAAAAGAAGAGGGGAAAGGAGGAGAAACTGTTATTAATTAAAAGAGACTTGAGACACAAGAGCCAAATACAATGTGTACACTTGGTTTGTTTGCTTTTTTCATTTTTTTAATTGACACATAATAATTGTACATATTCATAGAGCACATAGTGATGCTACAACACTTATAATGTATAATTTCACTTGTAATGTATTAATTGTAATGAGATGTTTCTAGATAATTGGGAAAACGTGAATGTGAGCTGGATATTAAATGATATTAAGAAATGGTTGATTTTGATAGGTATGCTAATGAATAGATTATCTTATCAGTTGAACAGGTCCTTTAAATCTTTGCACTTTTTACTTTGGACCAGACAAATATTTATAGTGGGTCTATCCTACTGTGGGATATTTAACAGCATTCTTGGCTTCTATCTACTAGATGCTCCACTCCCTGCCAAATTGTGACAACAAACTGTCTCCAGACATTGGCAAATGTCCTCTGATAAAGAATCATTGAGTTTGGGCCAGGTATAGTGGCTCAAGTCTGTAATCCCAGCATTTTGGTAGCCCAAGGTTAGAGGCTTGCCTGAGCTCAGGAGTTCAAGACCAGACTGGGAAACTTGGTGAGACCTCATCTCTACAATAAATCAAAAAATAAGCCAGGTGTGGTTGCTTGCACCTGTAGTTTCAACTACTTGGAAGACTGAGGTGGAAGGATCGCCTGAGCCCAGCAAGTCAAGGCTGAGGTGGCTATAAGCGTGCCACTGCTCACCAACCTGGGTGACAGAATGAGACTCCAACTCAAAAAAAAAAAAGTCACTGAGTTTGATATGCATAGAAATGTTAATTAAATGACATAATTTCTGGGACTTGGTTTTGGTTTTAAATACTCTAGCCAAAAAAAAAAAAAAAAGTGATGGTGGATAGATGAAACTTTAATAGGGTAATTTCGATTTTAGTTGAAGCTGCGTGATGAATACATAGGGATTCATAATACTAACCTCTCTCCTTCTGTGTCTGTTTAATTTTTTTAATCAATTTGTTAATAAAATCCAATTCAAGGTTTCCAATAGGCTTTCCTTTCAATGCATCCTCTCAAAGTTGCTTCACTGCCTACTATGAACACTCAGACATGTTTCCCAACACCTGAAGAAACACCTGTAGAATTCCTACCTGGCATCATAGGAATAGGCTTTGTCTGCTTCACTACTTTAGTGATCCATGTTGCTAAAGTCCAGAAGCAGAAAACATTACCTAGAGGCAGAGGTGGCATTAAATATAAATGTAGTGGATATCTAGAAGTTCCCCTTGAAACCTCCACAACACTACAACTAACAAAGAAAAAAATCTTCTGTTGCTTTATCCTCATTCTGAAGGGACTTGAGGGGACTCGTGCTAGATGGATGAATGGACTTCAGGACCTCGAACCTCTCTTCTAACCTAAGTTTGTATAAAACTATAGAATGCCACCATAATTATTCCATCGCTTTATCTTTCAGTTTAAATTCCCATTGAAATGCCAAGAGATAGAAGAGATAGACATTTAGGCGGTCATTCAGAACATAGAAAAAGACAAGTGGAGGACTGGAAGGCTCCACCTGGTCGGGTGTGCAGGAGGGAGCATGATCTACAGGAGGACAACGGCCACCAAAAATGAAACTGGAAAGTTGGGAAATTTTCAACCATTTCAAACTATGATTAAAAAGTCTACTCCACGCCCTAGAGGCATACAGCTGAGTTAGGGGAAGAAGCTGCTGGATGGGGATATGAAAAGAGTACGAAACACAGTTTTATTGGAATGATGTTTACAGTTTAGTTGGAGGGAGAAAACTTACATGCCTGAGTGAAGCAATTAGTGTACAATTAATTGTAAAGCTGGAAGCTGTTAGCAGCACCCGGGGAACCGCTAATAGCATGAGAATTGTTATTAGCAAAATGACTGAGGTAGAAGTGAAAGTCTTCAGAGAGGAGAAGAAATGTCAACTGGCCCTATGAAGGTGGGTAAGATTTGGACTAGCTAAGATTTTTTTCAAGTGAGAGAAACAGTGCAAGCCAAAGTATTCAACAAATATTTTTTAAGTGATGACTATGCGACAAGGATTGTGTTGAGGTTGATATTGTGCAAAGAGGCACAAGGCATTGCCCTCACATGCCAGAAGCTTGCTGCTAAGTACAGAGTAAGGAAAACACAAGATCTTCTTTTAAAGTGTGAAGACAAGAGTGACTGGAAATGAGAATGTATTAGTCAGGATTCTCCAGAGAAACAGAACCAGTAGGATGTTTGTGTATATATATGTGTGTGTGTCTGTATATGAGAGAGGGATTTTTTTTTAATTGGCTCATACAATTGTGGGAGCTTGCAAGCCCAAAATCTGCAGGGCAGGATGGCAGAATGGAGATCCAGAGATGGTTTGATGTAGCTCATGTTCAGAGGCGGTCTGGAGGCAGAATTTTAGGATGTCAGTCTTTTTCCTTTTATGGCCTTCTATTTATAAGATGGAGTTCACCTACAATATGAAGGGCAATCTGTTTTACTCAAAGTCTATTGATTACTGACTTAAATGTTAATTTCAGGAGAGGAGGGAGAAGCAAAAAAAAAAAGGTAATCTCCTCTTAAAAATACCTTTGCAGTAAAAGTCAAACTGGTGTTTGACCAAATGTCTGGGTTCTGTGGCCTAATCAAGTTGGCACATAAAATTGACCATCACAGAATGGGATGTATGTGACATAGGTTGATGGTTAGGTAATATGAAAGCTAGAGCAGGACACTTCTTGACTCTATAGGAAGAATAGGGTATGGGTGTATCTAGTAACTTGGAGGCACAATACTAGCCTGTTATCTTTACCCTCAAGACAGCCAATGGCAACCACTCCCCAAGACCCCACAATTGTTGTGTGGATGGCACTTCTCTCCCAGGAAATTAATCCTAATTCTGATGTTGATGCCTGATTGTCATGCCCTAATCTGAAAAGCAGGAAGCCCCAACTTTCTTTCTTATTGCTGCAGTCCAACAGCACCAGGTGCACCCAGGAACTATTTTGCACTTCAAAAAAGTCTGGATGAATAGCAAGGATATTTAGCTTTTAACTTTGAAGTTCTTCACAGCAATTCATATTTTCTATTCTAGGTCGAAATAAGTAATGACATTGACTCGGAAATGCGGCTGCTGAACTTGACCTAGGGAGTGAAGCATCATTGACAGCCCCTCGGTGGATCCAACGTGACTCACATTCCTTCCAGAGGTTGGACTGTGCCTCCCCGCTTTCCCACGAATCACGGAGTTCTTCGATCACAACCTATGTGTTATTAGCATTGTTTGCTAGATGAGTTCTAGGTGCTTGGGTGGGTAATTTTTTTAGTAATTTTCTTCTTATATGAACACTTGTAAATTGTAAAAAAAAATGGTTTTTAATTTTTTTAACAACATTTAATGTGAGGCATGCAAAATGAAGAAAAAGAATCTGTGAAAACTTCCTACAGTCAATTCTAAGAGAAATATCATTGTGTATTTTTGAGATGTTAAGTCAGTACTGCTGACTGCTGAAGCTATCCTAGGCTTGATGAATTTGCATTAGCAGACATTACCTGTGGTTATCAGACAGACACAAAGGTAGACCCTGTGACAGCTGATAAAAGGGTATAAATAATGAATCCAGTCTTCTGACTGAATATGGGTCATTTTTTTCAAAACCATAAAACAAAACGTGGAGTCCTCCTTTGTTCTTGACTTCTTAAAACCCATAACAATATTATGACAATCTAAATTTTCAAATTCATGCATGATATCTCATTCTTCCTGTATTCCTGTGTGTGTGTGTGTGTGTGTGTGTGTGTGTGTGTGTGTGTGTGTGTGTGTGTTTGTGTGTGTGTGTGTGTATCTCCATCCCTGTGGATGCATGGAAGACTAAAATGATTAGCAGAACCCTTTTTCTCCTTTGGAGGTAATACAGGAGTCTCTGAGGCTCATCTTTTTCACTCTTTATCCCACTCCTGACGCTAGTGTCAGGCCTAAACATATAGCTGGTTCATGGGCTTGTGGGACAGAAGTCACTAGCATATATCTGCAATCAGGATCTTTTCTCTTTAAATATTCAAAAGGAGCATGAAAATGCTGTGGAATTTTCTATGAATACTCCTAAGGAAGTTATTTATGTTTGTACAACATCAACTTTTCTTTCTCCTACCCCATCTCACCAAGAAAAATGACATGGGAAACATAATTTTCTGTGGAAAAAAGGACCGTCTTAAAAACACATCACAGTTGAGATTTTTATTAATTGCCATAAAATTTACAGCTGATAAAATGCACACATTGTAAGGGTATAATTTGATTAGTTTTTTAAAGTGTACACACCCATGTAACCAATGCTTAAGTCCAAATGCAGAGCAATGTTATCACTTTAGAAAATTCCCTCACACCCCCTTTCAATCAGTTCCCACATTCTCATAGACACCCACTGTACTAATTTTCATCATCCCTGATTAATTTTGTCTGTCCTCTGTGTAAAGCATGTACTATGTCCACATCACTTTTTGCCATAACTCTCGTTCAGTGTTTTCTATATAAAAATAAGTTTTGCTCACTTTGTATAACAACCAAAGTGAAGCTCCCCATAGGTAACAAAGTTAGCACCGTTAAGCACAGAGGTTATTAACCTGGTCCGTGCATCTCTAAGAAGTCAGTCTATAAACCATTTAAATCTGTTACAGATTTTGGATGTAGGTAAAGGAAGGTTCTTTTTCTTCTTCTTTTGGACCCCATAGATTTCATGAGACTGTTAAGAATCAGAGCTTAATGCAACAAAGTTCACCCTGGTTCTTTCATAACAACCACAGTAGGCTTTCTAGAGGCCTAGTTGATGCACTAGCCTCCAAATTGTGCCCCTTTGGTCAGATGATACCCAAAAACTCCCATCACTTTGCATCCTACAGAATAAACCTGAATTCAAAATAAGGAAAAACTAGCAGAGATCATGGAGACAGTGGAATCCAAGCTGCCATCATGCAATTGAGAGGGTTGTGAAGCCTAGGGGATTTGGTGGACATGTCTAGAGCCCTGCCTCTGTGCACAGAAGCAAGAGCCACGACCCATGGACAGGAAACCTAAGGGGCAAAAGGTGGGGTTGGGCCCTGTCCACTACCATGGCTTTGCCAGCATTTGACATTTCCATGCTGGAGTTTTCTTTATCTGTGAAGTGGAACTAGGGAAAAAAAAAACTGTTATGTAAATGGTGAAGCACTCCCCAACTAAAAGAGGCAGTTATTAGGAATGTCAGAACAGTAGCCAGACCCAGTCTGGAACCCTTGCCACCCTCCCAAGTGCTACGAAATTGGGCCATTCATCAGAAACAAGTTAGACTGATCTCTCCTCTCTTTTCTTCTCCCTATCTCTCATCCTCTTGGCTACTTTTGGAGGCTCTGCTGACTTAAGACAAAGGAATAAAAAGAAGTGCAGAGCTGTGCGTTGAACTTGGCAGTTACCCATTAACCTGGATAATTCTGACACGATACGCCACAGGAACGAGTATTTTGAGTTTTTGCTTTTGCCTTCTGTCTCAGAGAAGCCACTCTGCACTGTGCATGTCCAGTAGGATTTCCAACAAAGACATGTTCTGTAATATGTGCTGTATGTTTTTGTCAAATCTTGACTTCTCCATATGCAATTATGTGTCTGCTCAGAGCAAGGGAAAATGAGCACATTGCTTAGCCTGTACTCATTTGCCAGAATCTTAGCATCTTAAAAAATGATGCAGCTCCAGGTTTAAGAGCTCTTCTCAGAAGCAGCCCTGGAGAAGCTGAAGGTAGGACTTCCATTGTCCTTTAACCTCTAGCACCGACTGAAATGCAGAAGGGAAAATTTAAAGCCAGTGCATTCTCCTCTTTGAGCCACTTTACGTAGCCTGCCTTTGTGCCTTTTGTGTCATGTGAATGCCACCTCCTTTCTTAAGTATCTTCTGCTGACATTTTGTGGCATCACAGGAAGCTGGAATCCTTTCTAGCTTACTTTTTATTTATTTGTGCTTCTAGTCATGCTCCAAAGCCAGCAAGAGGTAAGCAGGGGAGTTCCAAGGAGGGTTAGAATATTCCCAAAGGACAGAATATCAAACATCTCTTAGAACAACATCTAAATGTGTATGTCTCCAAGTATCTTAGCCTTCTACCTGCCACAGAATGTGAGGGTACGTGTCCCTCCCATGAAAACACATGTTCACACCACTTTAAATCTGGCAAGTGATTGGCTCATTTGTTTTGAAGACGATTCGACTCCTTGCCCTAGCAAAATATTGATTTATTAGTTGGGTTTGGTGGCACATGCCTTTAATCCCAACACATTGGGAGGTAGAGGTGAGAGGATTGCCTGAGCCTAGAGGTTCAAAACCAACCCGAGCAACTTAGCAAGACTTTATCTTTACAATAAATCAAAAAACTAGGTGAGCATGGTGGCGTGCACCTGTGGTTACAGCTACTTGGAAGGCTGGGGTGGAAGAATCACCTGAGCCCAGCAGGTCGAGGTTGCAGTAGCCGTGATCGTGCCACTGCACTCCAGCCTGGGCAACAGAGTGAGACTCAGACTCAAAAAAAATTTGACTTGTTTTGACTTTTCTTCATACAAATAAGTCCTGCTAGTCCCATAGATCTAAATAAGGAAGTCAGCCAGCTTCCAGAGGCTGGATCTAACAAAATATGGCAAGGCTACCAGCTGTCTCACTTAATGAACGGGACTCTCCTCATTGAGAGGAATTTGTCTTCATTAAAACCAACTAAAATTACATTGCAAAGTTACATTGCAAAGTTGAGGAAAACCATCATGATGCTTGCTAAATTAAGAAGCAAAAAACCAAAACTGCGCTTTACGATCTTTGCAAATTAGGAATCTTGCCAAGAATAAACACATCTCCATTTCATATCTAATTTTAAAATGAATGGTGTCTCAAAATGTGAATTACTCTGGCTGCTTATTATTATTATTATTATTATTATTATTATTATTATTTGAGTTGGAGTCTCACTCTGTTGCCCAGACTGAAGTGAAGTGGCCGCTCCCGGCCACCGCAGCCTCGACCTGCTGGGCTCCGGCGATCCTTCAGCCTCAGCCTTCGAGTAGCTGGAATTATAGGCACGCACTACCACGCCCAGCTGATTTTTTGATTTATTGTAGAGATGAGTTCTCGCTGCCCAGGCGGGTCTCGAACCCGCGGACTCAGGCAATCCACTCACCTCGGCCTCCCAAAGGCGCAGGATTACAGGCTGAGCCACCGAACCCGGCCGGCTGCTTATTTTTTTAAAGCAAATATTCACTTAATCTTTCTGAGTTACTGTAGTATGTAGCTAGGATAAATTTTATACTTGATTAGAATTCAAATGTTCTAACTTGATATTTTTATTCAGGTGCTTTTCCTTCAAGACGTGACTGAATTAAGTAGAAAAAAATACAAATAGTTGATCTTTTAAAACTTAGACACCTTGAATGTCTGTGGCTTTGTTTTCTTCTAATAAGAGTGATCTGTAGCTTTTGTTTAATAGAAGGTCTGTTGAAGTAGCTAAGAACCATGTTCAAGTATTTGTGATAAATAAGGATGTTATGCTCAAAAGTAGAACTGATAGATGAACTTACTCCCATGTAACTGCATGGTGTACATTTCAGAAAAGGAGATTTTTTTTAGTATAGAAGAATGTAACTATGAAGTAATAATTACCCCCAAAATTGAAATATCAACAAACTTCAAAATTTGTGGGCAGCATCTCTCTTTTCTGCCTGAAAAAAGTTTAGTTTCTTTATTGAAGACTAAGAAACAAGTGCTATTTCTTTAAAGTAGATAAAACTTTTCAAATATTGATACTTATAGAAAAATTTGATGTCAGGTGAAAAATAAATCATCTTCCTTGAACTTTCACTCATATAAAGGGTGAGAATCTTGTTAAATGCCAATCATTTTTAAAATTTAAAATATTTGGAGAGTCCAAAATATGCTTTGGCTTGAACTTGAGGGCTAAATTAAGTAAAGTGAAGGAAAGAATAGAAAGTAGAAAGAGAGGGAAGGAAGGAAGACAAGGGAAAAAAAAGAGAAATAAAGGGAGTAGAGCAAGAAGTAGAAAGAAAGAATCCAAAATTGAAAGTCTACCTAATATGGATTTGGATAGTGTCAATCCTTAACTCAGAGTTTTATTCTTGTTTCTTTGACTGACTGGAAACTTTGGATCATTTTTCAAGAAGGAATGTTTTTTCTGTCCTCTTCAGAGTTGTTAAGAAACAATATGAAGAAACCAATAATCTGTCTAGTTCCTCTCGTAGAATTTGCTTTGGCAAACAACTTTGTCAGTCTATAATAGTTAGGATTTTGTTTACTTACAAGTGACAAAAAGAAAGAAAGAAAGAAAAATTGAAGCAGTTTCAATAAGATAGAGATCTATTTCTCTTCATATTTCAAAATTCTAGAGACAGTCAGCAAAGAGTTGGATACAGGTTCCCTAGAGACAGGGACTCAGGCTTCCCTCTTGTTGCTTCATCCTCAGTGGCTGTTCAAGGTCATAACATAACTCAAAATGGCTGCTGCAGCTCTGTCCATGGATGTGTATTCCAGCCATGGAGGAGGAAAAGGAACAAAGAAGATGCTTCTTTCCTTTAAGGACGTATCTCAGAAGGTGTATACACTACTTCTACTTACATGTCATTGGTCAAAACTTGGTCCACCCCAAATTTTTCTGCAAAGA